TTTTACCTGTTGAAATACCCATAACACGCAGTTTTACACTTGCCAAAAAGTGATTACAGACTCTACTTATTGAGTGAACTGTTCTTTCTGACTCAAAATTACTTGATTTCATTCATGGTTGTTATATTTGATATATTATAGCTCATTCAGTCCTTTTTACCTGTTGAAAGACCTTTAAATGGCCATTAAAACCCATAAAATGCAGTTTTACACTTGCCAAAAAGTGATTACAGGTGCCAATCAGTTTTCGGCAGACGATCAATTTTCGGCACGACACCGGCACTTAAACTGAAAGCAATCAAAAAAGCCCATGGACAGGTTTTTGCTGACAGAATACGACGTTCGGTAAGGGAAACGCAAAAATTATCATGATATCTGTCATAAACGTTATCAAATTAATACTTATGTAGTTATTCAAGTAATTTTGTTAAATTGTGATCACGTTAAATACAAATTCAGTCAAATTAAAAATATTTTATGACATGGCACCCATTTCTGGTACTTGCCTAAAAAGACATGTTTATGAGTTAATAGATTACACTAACATAATTAGGCTACTTTTAGCCTTACACTGGAGTTGGTTCACTCTACTTCTATAGAAACAAAGAAATAGTCAGTGCAATGAAAAGTGGAAGTCAGATTGAGAATGGCTGGTATATGATCCAGCAAAGAGAATCATGTACTGCACTGATTGTAGGATGTACGGGGGTGAAAAGGTGAAAGACAAAATTAATTTGTTATTTTTTGCTCTTTGTTTCTAGTGCCAAGATTTATTTTCTACTCTGTATTACACTATTTACCATTAATAAATATTTAAACAGTTTTTCTCTTTCTAGTTTTTTTTTTTAGTTTAGTTTTTTTATATTTTCGATTAATCTTATACACCCCTGCACCACATTTATCATATGCAATAGGAAGCAAGTATTTTTATGTCTTAATAAACTGCATATTTTCATAAAAAGGAGCATTTTGTGTGGTCTTGATTTGGGTGTGTACAGTGGTTATTTACATTTAAAAGGGTTGTAAATCTAGCTCAAGTAAATTTTAGCATGCCATAGTCAACTTTATTCATATGAAACGTAATTTCCCAACAACATAATTGTGGCCAGTGAAAATACTGCACGTGGCTTGTAACTTTGAAAAATCACTAGCCACAGTGGCTGGTGAGCAAAAAAGTTAATATCAAGCCCTGGAAACAAGAACCATATTTTATTTACACAGAGTTCAAATTCAGAATGACCCAGTGTTAAGTATCACAAGTGTAAAAAGCCCTAACAAGACATTTAAGCGCACATCCACAAGTACAAGTTTGTATATGCTAAGTATAAGATAAGCAACTCTTCAAAGCATTTCAGTAGTATCAGTTGTGTTATATACTGCTTAAGGTACCAAAATGTGTGACTCTACTCTCTTTATACTTCTGTAAAACTCAAAATTGTAAAATGAGATAAGAATCAAGAAATACTCATGTTCCCTTTCATGGGAACTTCGAACTGCATCCTCTAGGGGTCGCTATGGGGAATGCCTCGTCGTGACCCGTGTCTGAAGCATATATTGAAAAAACACCAACAACACGTTGGCCGGCGACAGCCATGACGTCACTACCAGTGCGACTATAGTATAAATAGGTGCCAGGAGAACACATCATCCTCTTCTTCGTCTTCACTGACTGTTTTGTTTGAAGCGTGCATTTCCGTGGTAACAGCGATCTCTATTCATTCATTATGGCGAGCACTAGCAAAGCGTTTAGAAGATGTGTACATCCGTGTCATCGCTATTTGACACCCGATGACACACACGATCTATGCGTTGTTTGTTTGGGTGAAGAGCGATGTCTTCGAGGGGGCAATCTGCGTGCACTGCGAGCGTTTTTCAATGAAAAAGCTCCGTTCTCGTTTGTCTCTTTTTTCGAGTAAAGAGAGGCAGCCATCTGTTTCCCGCGGTTCAGGACCCCGCCGCTGCTGAGGCACGGAGGAGCATGAGCTCGTGGGGATCGCAGGTGGACCTGGCCAATGAGTTTAAAGAGGGGCTTTCCCTCTCGCGCTCGTCGGCTGTGGACGAGAGAGAGCCGCTGGAGGATGATGTTATTTCTCTAACATCGTCTGATCCGGGGGCCAGTGCTCTGCTGGGTTCAGCCCAGGAGGAGCAGGAGATGTCTGAGGACGGCGAAGAGGCTGAGGCTGAGCCTTCCCAATCCTCCTGCCCTGCGTATGATGAGCTGTTGGAAGTTATGGATCGCGCCACGGCGAGGCTT